TTCTTGTCCTGCCCTCTGGTGCTTTGGAGAATAACATGAGCCCCTTTTCTCTGTGGCAGCCCCTCAAATACTGGAACACTACCATCATGTATCCCCTATTTCTTCTTTTCTTTAGACCAGTGATGGCGAACCTTTTAGAGACCGAGTGCCCAAAAACTGGCCCTGCCCCCACTCCATCCCCTGCCCTGCCCCCACTCTGCCCATCTCCTGCCCCGCTTGCCCGCAGGGTCACTGCCTCCAGGGCCTGCTGTAGATCGCCCAGGCAGCCCAGCAGCACTATGGTGGTCACGCCCTGTGCCCGCGCCCTGCAGCATCAACTGTGCACGATGGGGTGTGAGGGCAGAGTCTTGTTTACGCTGCCTGGCTGCCATGTCCTTGGCTGCACTGCTCCGCGTGGGCCACGCTAAAGGGTGACTCTCAGGGGGGCTGCTGGAGAGGGTCACGGGGAGGTGAGGCTGGGGCAACGACACGTGTGCCCACCGGGAAAGCTCTGAGTGCCGCCTCTGGCACCCATGCCATAGGTTCGCCACCACTGCTTTAGACTAATCAATTGCTCTTCTCTGAATTTTTTCCAAACTCTCAAAATCTTTTTTATGATATAGTGACCAAAATTGGCTGTAGTATTCCAGGTGTGGTCTTACTAGGGTTTTATAAAGTGGTACTAATATTTCGCATGATTCTGATTCTATGCTGCTGTTTATACAATCCAGGATTGTATTAGCTTTTTTGACTGCTGCTGCACACTGCTGGCTCATAGTTAAGTGATCATCCATTAGGACTCCAAGGTCCCTTTCATAGTTACTATTTTTAAGCCAGGTCTCGCCTAATCTGTACTTTTACCTTTGATTTTTCCTGCCTAACTGTAAAACTTTGCTTTTCTCCACACTGAAACTCATTTTGTTGGATCGGGCCCATTGTTCAAGTTTGTCAAGATCTTTTTGGATCCTGAGTTTGTCTTCTGAGGAGTTGGATACTCCTGCCTTATATATTATGATATTCATCATAACATATAAAAAGCAGAACTGTACCACTCACTACATAGGATTAATCTCTTCCTAAATACAAAATAATTTATAATTAAATAAATAAGAGAAAAACCATACATATTGCCAGTTCTACCTTGTATTTCTTATCTTAATTTTAGTAGAATTTCCAGTGTGATTGTTGTATCAGCAACTATATAACTAGACACATTTTTTAATTTTTGATAAATGATATTTCCTGCACTATGCCTTTACTTGTTGAGTATTTTCCTAAGATAGATCTGGAAAATTCAATCCATCTTCATGGGTACTTTAACACATGAAATTCTCTAGGGCAATCTTAAACTCAGGAGAAACTGTTTCACACCTACTCTTAGTTCTCTTAAAACTAGTCAGTTTTCATCGGACAAACATATGACCTAGTCAATAAGGAGTCACTGCCAAACAATACTCATTTTCAACAAAGAAAAAAACCCCAGAAAATCCAATGTTTTCATAATCAGTGCCCTTATTAACCAGGCTCCAGGACAGTTTATCTAACTAGATATTTAAAGACTATCTTCATTCTCAGCACATTTTCTAATACAGCAAAAGACTAGTAAACTTACATGTAAAAAAACCCCCACAGTAATAAAGCTTTTCATTAGTATGGGCTTTTTTTTCTATGACAGTCAACTATTTCTGGTTATGCTTTTAAATATATTTTCAGATGATACACTAAAAGGCTGCTAAATATTATACCTTCTATCCAATAAAACATTCTAAGCTAGTAACTACAAATTGTTGAGTTTTTGTCAGCATAAATAGCTAAATTAAAGGCTTAAACAGTGTCTGCCACTTTTTACAAATAATAACCAGATGCTTTTATCTTGCACACAAATACAGAACTTGAATTTCATAGATAATATATATTTTGCAGTCATATCAGAACGTTAATATATGGAATTTATCTTATCTGACCATGTAGTTCAGGTTCCATATAAAAATATAACAAACATGGCGAATTACAACAAATCCTACACATATTTATATAGAGATGTGGACAGGATTTGTTATACTTTTCTAAAAAATACATTTTTTTCTTGTAATAATTTTTTTCTTTTTCAAAATTTTTAATTTTTTTAAACTATAAAGTTTTAAAACCAAGTGTGTCTCACAGGAATTTTATTTTTCTTATTTCAAAGTGCCCTGCACACAAAGTTATTACAAGCTTTTAAATTCTCTGCTCCTCACCCCTCTCACCTTCCAACAATCTACCACCACAAATGAGAAAATTTTGTTGAGAAAAAGTACATATACTTTGTAAAAGGAACAAGGTTGTCATTCAAGAAATCAGTATATATCATTGCAATATTTAAATCACACTTTTCCAGATCAGGAATGGAAAACATCTCTCTCTCTCTCTCTCTTTCACACACACACACACACACACACACACACACACACACACACCTTGTGACCACTGAAAACCATTTCCATTATATTTTGGAAAGTAACCCACATTATTTCTGTATTTTTATAATGGAAAATAAAATGAACAGTATAGTGTAAGGCCTAAAATACTATAAAGCAGTCATTTGTGCAAAGTAGCTCTCTCTACTTTGTTTCCTAGTTCTCTTTCATTAAGTTAAATTTCCGGCTACCAAAATGATGCCAGCCTACTTCTGGTCATCACCACGAACTATAAGAGTACATAGCATACAGAGGATTTTGAGCACTAGAACAATTATAGACATTATAATTCTCTCCTAATGTTACTCTTCTGGCACTAATTGTCTATATTGCTCATTTTATAGACCCACATCTTAATAAATGGGGCCACAATCATTAAGAAAAGTTCTGTATCTACCAGGAAATTGTTTATTTTTTATTTATATCCCTCTCCCCAATATTTTCCTCACAACAGTGACCATGAGGTGAGTTCGGCTGAGAGAATAACTGGCCCAAAGTCATCCAGATGACTTTCATGCCTAAAGCGGCACTAAAATTCATGCTCTCCTAGTTTCTAACCTGCTGCCTTAACCACTACAAAAAAATGGTCTATTTCTGTTTTATAGGTACAAGCCTTATGACATATTATAGAATCAAAAAACTGTCTCCCATTTTCCTTTTCTTGCTATGCTGACTAGAAAAAAAAAATCTTAGGTTACACAAGAAACCAACATTACCTGTGTTCCAAAAACAAAGAATTTATATTAAATATATAAATTTACATATCAGACATGCTAAAATAATATCCCAGATAAAAACATTGTAAATTGTATCACGTTCACTTTGGAATATGTCTTTACCATGTGATTTCTAATCTATGTTGAAAATGTAATGGAAATTATGAAACAGATATTTTTTCTATATCTACCTACCAAGCATTCTGAATGAAATAGTAATAATCACCAGATTATGTTCATGTTTTTAAAGTGTGCTTTTTTGAAAGAAAACAAAATATTTCAAAAATTCAATTTTTCTTGTTAAACAAAAAGCAGTTTGTGTGGTGCAAAATGTGTGAAGCAAAATGTCATGCTGCTTTCCTTGACCATCTTTCAGTACACAATCCTAATACTTTTTTGAGAACCTGCTATAGGTATCTAATCCATAACCAATTTGCACAAGATCTGAGTGCAAAGTCATGCAAGAATTCCAGAGATTTCTAATGTGCAATAAACAAAATATTAGCCTATTAAGTCCCCAATTTGTTTCTCATTTCATATTACTTATAAACTAGTGAAATAGGACAAACGAAAGCAAGCCAAATGTCTCCAAAAGAAAGCAACATGGTAACCTTGCATGCATACTGCTTCACAAGAGGCAGGACAGTTAGTGAACACAAGCCAGCAAGGACAGTTGTTCAATAGTTACAAAGGTCAAGCAGAAAAGTTCTTCACTGTTCTCATTCAGAAGAGGAAAGAAAGGAATAAAATTCTTGCATCAGGAACAAATGAGAGATTAGAAACAACAGTAACAACAAAAGTAGATTAGATCATATTTGCATGGTAAGCAGATAGTATCCCTATGTCCTTAACAGTGGAAGAAAACAGAAACTGCAAGGAAAGGATTGAATAGTAAAATATGCCTAAATTACAAAGACAGCAGAAAAATGTTGGCTTCCAGATATTCTCCATCTTACAACTCATTATGCAGGTCTGACTGAAGTTTATGTGTCTCTTCTTGTTCTTTTTAAGGAAAAGCAAGAGACAAATATGGATATATTTCTATCTGTAATCTAAATATTTTTATTTAATACTCTAATAACAGTATTAGATATTCAACAAATATCTTAAGGAATATCTGAGTGAGATGCAAATTAATGACAATTGGGTTTTTTTTCCGTTACATTCTAAAAAATTATATTTAAGACAATTCACATGCAAAGATATTATGCAATCAGTTCAGAGTTATAATACTGGCCTGAAAATAAATAAAGAGTACTTCATTATTTCATAAGCACAATTTAATGTTCACATCTGTAAATCTCTAAGGAGACTTGATAAAAACAATTTTGTTGACATTTCATGTCTATACACATAATAACTGGTCTGGCAAATAAGTACTCTCTGTATTTATGCTTTTTTCATTAATGAGAATAAAAGAATACCAAGCCTTTAAATTACGGTATAATGAACATACTAGATTTCTTAGAACTCTGAATGGATCATTAATAACTTGGTTCTCAATGACTTTGGACAGCTCACACAAGTCAAAAAAATTACAATAAAATCAATCAATAAAAAGAATTAATAAATTGTTAATAATCATTTATTTATATAAATAAAAATAAGTATGAATAAATCATGAAAGAAAAATATGGTGATTACACGTTTCCAATCATTTTTAGGAAAAATTATACACAGTATAAATTGTGCTATTTCACTATTTCTATATTTGAAACTCCTATGAATAATTGGGCTTTATGCTTTAGTTTTTGCAAATTTAGTCAAATTCTTAACAAAATAATAAATACAAACTTAAAATTACTCATGAGTCTTTTCAAAACATTTAGAACAGAAAGTAATTTCTTACCTTTTTCTTCATCTATTCTGAAGATTCCAACACCAGATCCATTCCTTATTGAGTATCTGATTTCACCATCTCTTCCTGTATCCTCATCATAAGCAGATGCAGTCATTACTGAAGTACCAATGGGAACATCTTCACTTACAAAACTTTTATCCACAAAATTAGGAAAACGTGGTGGGTGCTGATTTTCATTTACATCAACTATTTCAATTTCAACATAACAGGTAGAAGACAATGAAGTGGGTTTTCCTTTATCTTTAGCCCGCACTGTTAGATTATAAATTTGTTTCCTCTCAAAATCCAGTCCTTGCACAATACGGATTGCTCCATTGAGTTTATCTACATCGAAACTTCCATTTCCACCATCCAAAAGGCTGTACCTTACTTGGCTTGCTTGACCTACGTCGGGATCATAGGTTTCTAGCCACATGACAATAGTTCCTTCAGGAAGATCTTCTCGGATTTTCACTCGATAATTTGCAGGAACAAATTTTGGAGGATTGTCATTAACATCTTCCAAAAATACTTTTAATAGAACTGTTGAAGACAACTGTGGTGACTCTTTAGCTTGGTCCCTAGCTTCTATTTTTAAGAAATACACTGCTTGAAGTTCACGATCTAAAAGTCCTGAAACTTTTACAATTCCAGTAACACTGTCAATAGAAAACTTATTTGTATCTGTAAGAAGTGCGTACCTCACTTCACCATTGGTGCCTAAGTCTTTATCTATGGCTTCTATCTGTATTATTTCTGTATTCAGTTCTTTGTTTTCACTTACATCAACAAAATAACTATCCTGTAAAAATTCTGGAGGATTGTCATTGGCATCAACAACTCTGATATTTAAAAGACGCCAGTTGGACTTCTGTGGTATGCCAAGATCATAAACGGTAATGTTCAAAGTGTATTTATCCCTTACTTCTCTGTCAAGAGGAGACAAGATGGTTAGCATTCCTGTTTCCATTCCAACGATAAAACTGCTGTCATTATTACCTCCAGAAATAGAATAGACTAACTTCCCATTGAAACCAGTGTCAAGATCAGTTGCATTCAAAAACATGATGGTAAAATCTACAGGCTGATCTTCTTTTACTTCAATGCTCCTGGGAAGGCCACTTTCAAACTGAGGTGCATGCAAGTTCATTGTATGTGTATCAAAAAAAGTATCCTCTACTTCAACACGACCATGTAGCTTATTTGCTTGCAAGAGTTTTTCTGCCAATATTTTGGCCACACCAGTCTCTTCACATTGTAAGCTCACTGGTTTGCGGCTGGTAACTACAGTAATGTTAATAAATAAGGGTGCTGCAAAATTTTCTCCATCTGTAGCAGTTATTTTCAAACTATGAAAAGATGTTCTTAAACTTAAGCCATCTCCTAGTGATTGTTTCAGGAAAAGAACCCCAGAATTTGGATTCAAACTAAATAAATCTAATTCATTTCCAGATTCTATTTGGTACTGTACTAACTGGAGCTCATCAGCATCAATAGCGGACACAGTAGTTATTTGCTCTCCCACACCAAGTTCCCTGGGAATTGTTCCCTCACAGTTTATTTTCTCAAAGAGAGGAGTATTATCATTCAAATTATTTAAAACTATTGTAACAGGGACTTCAACTTCTCTGCGATAGGGGGTGCCCCAGTCAGATGCTCTAATTCTTAATTTATAAATTCTTGGCATCAATTCATAATCCATAGTTTCAGAGGTGGTAACCACACCAGTGAAGTGGTTTATCTCAAAAGGAACAGGGTTTATATTTGCAATGCTATATGTGACATAGCCATTTTCACCTTCATCAGGATCGTTTGCACTCACACTCATAACACTTGTCCCTATAGGGACATTCTCATTAAAAGAAGCTTTATACGATGTCTTAGTAAATTCTGGAGGATGAGTATTCACATTTATAACCTTAATGAATACTTTTGTAGATGCTTTTTTATCGCTTGTCATTATGTCAAATTCAAAATGAGCTGCATGTTCAGCTTTTATGGCATCTAGAATAGTAATAAGGCCAGTGTGAGGATTCAAACTGAACTGAGCTTTGCTTGGTGCATTTGCAAACAAATATTTTATGTAGGGAGAAGTAGGCAATGCTTTTACCATAACCACAGGTGTGTTCGGTGGAGCAAATTCACTTATTTCAGCTCTATAAACTACTCTTTCAAACTGTGCTTCTCCAGACCTAAACTGGGGAGAAGGCAGATGAATTGCTTTCACAGAGGAAAACTTTGGAGGGTTTCCTTTATCTTTAGCCTGCAGTGTAAGATTAAAACCAAAGGGTTGGCTCTCCCAATCAACACTGCCGATTGCTTTGATTTTATATTCTTTTCCTCCTGGGACGGTTCTTACAGCTTTGAACTGCTGAAGTGGATCACCTGCTACAATACTTAGAGATGCTACCTCTCCATTTAAACCATAATCTTTGTCCTCCACAGTTATAATTGCATATGCTGGATCCTTATCCAGCTCTGAAGGAGTCAAAGCAAGGGCTGTTATGACTGGTGCATGTTCGTTAGCTTGTTCTACATGAATTGTCAATTTCGCCATGCTACTAATCCCACTGCTGCCGTACAATTTCATACCACGATCCACGGCAAGGATTTCCAACTCATAAACTTTTGTTTCTGAATAGTCAAGTCTGCCAGTCAGAATGACCACCCCACTTGTTGGATGAATTGCAAACATGTCTGTCCTCTCCTTAAAACTGTAATAAAACTCTCCATTGGTTCCAATATCTGCATCGGTTGCACTGACTTTGGCAATACTGGTCCTTATTGCTGTATTTTCTGATAACGAAACACTGTAAGAAGTTGGAGAAAATAAAGGCCTTAAGTCATTTGTATCCAATACTTGCACTCTGACGTTTGTGAGAGCTTCTGCATTTGTATTTTTCTCTATTGCTTTTATAGTTAATATGTAATTGTCTTTTACTTCTCTGTTAAGTATAGCAGTATTCCCTCCCTTGGTCCGAATTCGTAAGAAGCAAAAATCCCCCAAAACGTATTCTTCAGCTTTAAACAAGTTCTCACTATCCCCAGAAATAATTTTGTATTTTATATCCCACAGGGAGCTAGTAATGTAAATGCCCATTTTTATTGGATGCCCAACATAAGTCTTAGCTGCAGAGTTTTCATATACTGTGGCATTGTAATGAACTTGTGTGAATTGCATTGGCAGTGCATGATATTGTGTCAGGGTTCCTTCACATTGTTCAAAATCCTGCACAAGCAGCAGTAGGGACAACAACAGCAACATGGTCAAATGGCTCTTCATAGAAGCAATCACCAAAAATCTGAAAAAAAAAGCACAAGAATAGAAATCAATGTATTTGAACATGTTCCTTTAAGAAAAAAAATTCCATATTAGTGATACCCAAGAGTCCCTTGGTTTGGGCTAGCTTTGGAGATCCACAAAGCCTCAAGCCTCTACCAGTCTTAAGGGCCAGGTTCTTAGCTTGCATTTAAAAATGGGTATAAATCAGAATACAGGATAACATTCATAAGCATTAATCTTACATCACTGAATTTCAAGATCCTTCATATAAATTCAAGGGCCTATTTGAAATTGACAAGTTACTGAAGAATAATTAGTTTTTTTCTTCTGCATCATTTCATAGCCATTTCCTATCAACTTTATTTCTTCCCCGAAAGAAGAAAAAGACAAAATTCTCATGAGCAGGATGTCAGTTTCTTGTACTTTAAGGGCCACTCAGATATGTACCAGAGTCCTTTCTTTCACTATGCAATCTGCCCTCAGATTCCCTTGTTTTCCAAACTGACATTAAATCTCTAGGGAAGATATAAGAGAAATGTTCCCAGGGATTTTTTTTCATTGTTGGGAAATGAAGTTTAACAAAAACATAACTGGGAGAGAAGACGGACACTAGCATTCTGTGACAGTGCCCAGTAATAAATTCTAAAGCATTCTGAGAGTAAGACATAAACAACAAATGCCTCTTTTATTAATAAAATTTTCAGGAATCTGGAAGAGAGTTTTCAATCTGGCATTTATAGAGATAATTCACACTGTCTTGAGCTTCTAATACATAAGAGACTAATAAAGCTGTGAAATTGATTTCTTCAGAAGAGGAAGACTATGATTTCCTCACTATAATGAATTTCTAAAGTGATCATATTGTTTGTGTCATTAATACCAACGTATATGCCTAATATATACTTTTTCATATTTTATTGATGAGAATGAATGATTCTACACTCAAGCAATGCAGGTTGTAAGCACTCAAGCAATGTCTCACTTAAGAGACAAAACACAAATGTTAAAATAAATGTCTTGTTCTTGACCCTAATCTTGGTATTAACTAATATATAAAGGATTGAACCTTACCCCAAACTGCAGTTAACAAAACCAAACATTTTATGTTTGCTGAAGCTCAGACAGAGAACTTACTTTTCATTCTTTCAGGCATGAATAAAATAGGAATTAATAGAAGGACAGAAAAATAATCTCCACTGCATTCCTAGCCATAACAGCTTTAAGTGAAGATTAGTTTTTAATTAGACTACCATCCCAAGAAGAAATTCTATCCTTTAAGAATACTGTAAAAACAATTAGAGTTTTACACAGTGACTCTATTCTATGAACAAATGCAATTTCTGCTCTATTCAACTTAGATAGTTCAAATATTTTTAATGATGCTTTTAGAATGCAGGTGGTTTGCCTTAAACTTTACTTTTTTTCAAATATACTACTTTTTGTTGCATACTCTCAGGTAATACATGATACAAAAAGAACCTTGAGTTTCTGAAATTGCATGTACTCTCAAGTACGTTCAGATCTTAAGATTTGCTTTGCATCATCTGGAAAATGGATAACAGATAATGAGTTCTCACCTTTGATCCACAGAATATATGATAACCCATATGTGATTTCAGGCAACACTGTTTTGCAACCAAAACCTTATGGAGCAATCTCAAAAATTGCAAACAGTTTTCTAAACCATAAACAATTCCTTCAATTATCTCTAACTACACAATATGACATGCTGTCCCACAAAGTGAGTAAGAGGCACTATATTGCAATTTTTCACAAATATAGATATTATTTTATGACCTAAAATCTCCTAGCACATCCCCTAGTACTTTAAAAACCCAGCTAATTCAATTCTGAAAATTTCTATTTATTAACAAATGGCGAGCAATCCAACATGGTGCAAAACAAAGCATCAGCTTTAAGCTTAGGTTTTACTTCTACCAAAGGGCCATAATAAAAGACCAACATTTGACACTTTCCTTTTGTTAACAAATGATTAGCCACTAAATCCATTTGGTGAGCTGAATAGCATTACAGTGATCACTTGAAATGATACTTAGTCTGGAACCAGAAAAAAGGCTGTCCAATCTCATTTCTCCTAGGCATATATATAAATTTGTTCACTTTCTCTGAGATCTTCATAAAAAATGTTATGTTTAACAACATATAGGTAAACATTTATATGCAAAATTAGATTGTAGATAATCTAACATATTAATTATTTAAAGAGCTATGGCTAAAAGATAACAGAGCCAAAAACAGTAACCACCATTAATCATTAAAAGAATCAGGAGCTAATCAACTGGAGAGGAACAAAGCTTATCAACCACGACTGGGATCAGCAACTCTATTGCTTCCACTGCTAAGTGAGACATCAGGTGACTGCAACATGCAGTTCTGGCTCCACATTCTCCATTAAGTCTGCTTGTCAGAAGCAAGTTTGTGAAACTCACAAATAGTGATCACATGGCCATGGAATGCTGCTATGGTCGTAAATGCATGCTTATTGCAAAGCACCCAAATGGTGATGTAGCCAAGAAGAGAGGACTGGTCACAAAGCTGTTTTTCCCCTCCATTTACCCTCCATTATTTCAAATGGTTACTAAACAAGGTGTGAGGATTACATGTATACTGAGAAGTGTTTTCCCAATAACGTTTCCCTTCTGCCCAGTTACCAAACTACCAAAATGTCTCAGTCCATTCTAATTCTGAACGCTGAATGCTTTTAACTTTATGGATGTGTTCTTCATTGGGAATAATTAACAGTGGATGTCAATATGATTTGTCCATTGAGGAACATCTTGAAGGCTAAATGCCTATTTACGTTTTTACTTATTTTAGCAACTAAGTAACTACATAAATTTCTATATTAATGTTAGCTATAATACAATACTATATAACAGCAAAATCTGCAACGAATAAAAGGATGCAAAAATATCTGTAGGAGAAGAGCAGGCAGAGCTGAGGGAGGAGTTAAGAATGTCATAACTTAGAATAGTTATGCTGTACAAATGATACAAGTCCAAACCCTCTTGAATTGACTATGTTAATGTCATGTGCAAAGAATCAGGAACATACATTAAATTGCAATTCAAAAGATTTATTACTCAAACTATACACAAGAATCTAGTCAAATTAAGTTCAATATTAAATTGGCACCAGATGAGGGTTAACAGAATTCAAGAGGGCTTGTACATGAACTATTTGTGACAATGTAACCATTCTAAGCTGATGGATGCTTAACTCCATCCCCCAGTTCTGCCTGCTCTTCTCCTACAATATCATCTACAAAACAATATAAATATTCAACAAATCAAAAACCTGTTTTGCACAAACTGCATGATCTTGAGCAATGCTAAAGACCTATACACACTTTTTCTATGCACAGCCAAGGGTTTACATTCATTTTACATGAAACTTGACTAGATGGTAACAGAGAGAATGTAGCTTTAAGCAAATTCTAATTATTGAAATAAATCAGAAAAACAAAGATCCATTCATATACCTTTCCTGGGTTTTTGCTGAATGAATAAATTCTGGCAATACTTAACTAAACAGGTTAAAATGTTTAGTTCAAAAATATTACTAGATTAAATCTTTTAAAGAAATTTTAAACATAGTATGAAGAGTTGCTTGCTTAAGTTAACTGGCAACTGAATACTTAATTTTTTCTATTACAGAGCTAATACTTGGTACTCCTTTAAAAAAATTAAGGCTCGAGTTTAAAACCATTTTTCTCTTTGTCTTTAAAAGCAAAGGTCATTGTAATAAGGGTTATTCCTTAAAAATGAGAAAATATTTATTTATTAAATTTATATGTTGTTCATCTCACCCTGCAAAGTGACTTTGGGCAGCTCACAATTAAAATCATAAAAATATCAAAACATTAAATATAGATACAAGAAGGCAAGATTGATAAGGTGGCTGCATCTCTTCTGTAAGTCTACCAGTTTCCTTCAACACAGAGCTCCCTCAGGCCAACTGGAAAGCCAGGTTTTAATGTGCTATTCTGGAAAGCTAAAAGGGTCGGGACAGACCTCACCTCAGGTAGCAAAATATTCCAAAGGGTGGGGACCACAGCAGAAAAGACTCTCCTGCTAGTCAAAACTTTTTACCAGTGGGACACACAGAGTACCCTTTAACCAGATCAAGTAAGATAAGCCAAGGCAGTTCCTCAGATAACCTGGTCCCATACCACAAAATACTCTATGCAAAATATACAATAATACAAAATAAAATTTAAAAATACAATAGAAGAGTATTGCTGGTTATGGTAGAGAATAGGTACAGATTGAAAAAGCATTTTTAAAAGAAGTTCTGGTTATGGTAGAGAATAGGTACAGATTGAAAAAGCATTTTTAAAAGAAGTTCTCAATCCAAAATCCTCTGAAACAAACTTTTTGCCATATAATGATTGCCCCTTAATCACTACAATAATCTTTCCTTGGTTTCATTGTGGAAAGAATTGTTAGACAGTATTAGTCTGTATATTTCATACAGGCACAACTGCATATTTAGCCCCCAGTTACCAATAGCCAAATCATGTTGGATAGTATCTGCTCAATTCTAAAATTTCTCAGTTCTTTTATCTTTAGTTTATCAGATTACTACTCAGGACTATATGAAAATAAGTCATTTGCTTATCAAATCTACACATCATAGTAAACTATAATACAGGTTGTTTAGTATGTTATGTAAGTCCAACTAATTCATACTGAAACATTGACTTTTGTCTTAGAATCAGACAATGTATCAGACAATTCACTTGCGTTTTATTGAAAAACTACAATTACACAAACTACAATTTGGATCTGGTCACCATGTTCAATGGACCTAATCTTTGGTTTTGCTTTCTTCAACCTGCTATTTACTATTCTATCACCCTCATTCATAACAATCAATAATAGGATTAGTAATATAACTAATTAGAAGAAATAAGATTGGTGCCTAAGAGAAACACATTTATGATAGCATCCTATTAACAACCAGTATAAGTTAGGTTAATATACAATACTTTGTTAC